AAAATATTAGTGTTTCGTGTTCATTTTGTCCTCGTGTGGACGGGGCCTAAGTGACACACACTCCTCAAAACTTCTTGGTCCCACCTGCTGATGATCAGCTCATTCAATAGATTTGTTAAACAGCCTGCTAACATCCTTCTACTTTTTTTCTTAAATTTTTTGAAGGCAGCATGGGTATACTTTAGATTTACTATTTTATAAATAATGATGATGGAGTGAAATTTTTGTTGTTTGTTTGAGGTTTGATTATTATAATTTTTGGTCCGAACCCTTATTCAAGTACTTCTGAGACAACGACTGATTCACAGAGATTTTGTGGTAATGAATAATTGCATTTTTGGATTAAAATGGGCACATACAGCAGGTATTATTGCCATATTCATACTGTTCTTGTGACATTAGTTTATAATAAACACCACTGCACCCCTCCCATTATGCATCAGTAAATGTTCCTTGAATTAAATACTTAACAAATATGTTAAACTGTTTCCTGAACCTGATTATTTACAAAGTAGCAGCAGACAAATAGCAGCCAAAATTTAACTATTTTATCTAACATTTTCTCCTTCCATGTGTTCTGTGTGTTTGTTACCATCTTTTATGTGTTTGCTGGGTCCCAACTGCTGCCTAACGGTAATGTAACTCTGACCACTTTGCAGGGAATGGGACAAAGAGGTGGTGTTAGCCAAAGGCAGGCCAAAGCTGCTGAAAGCACTGGCCCGATGCTTCTTCCTCCCGTTTGCCTTCTTTGGGGTCCTCCTCTACCTCGGGGTAAGTTCAGATCTTTCGGTAAAAGTGATTGAACTTTAATTCTTGAACAGTTGTAGCTAAAGTTTCCTAAAATGCAACAAATTGAAAATGTGACACATCAAGCATCACATGATTTTTCTCTAAGAGAGAAACACATTTTTTTTTTTTTTATGTTGACCTTTGAAAAACATTTCCAGGAAGTGGTGTTTTGATGCTTGTTGCCTCATCCAGCATCTAGTTTATGGATATGTGAAGGTTGCTGCTGTGTGGCGTTTTGTTTTTCCCTAAATGGGAGGGGTCTGCTCACACTTCCACTCTGATCTCATGGGGAGTGCACTGGATGGATTTACAACCCATTGTCTGTCTGAGTTAGAACACAGTAAAGGTTCGAGATAAGATGATATAGCATGCAGCAATTTATAAGTCACACATTTTTAGTGTCTCTAAAGCACTTTTATTTGAAATGGCCAATTTACTATAATGATTTATTCTGTTTATTTTAGTTTTATTTTAGCGACTTTGTTGTATATTTCAGTTTCCACTCTTAAGAAGTCACTTTGTTTTACAGTTTGAAGCATTATACATACAAGCTCTTTTAAAAAAAACTGTTTTATTTGATATATTTTTGTAGTTAATAAACATATTCTTACGATCCCAGCATCTCCAACCTTGCATAAGGATATATATCAGGGAACCCAGTAGGGAAACACTGATACATTGGCCGGCCGATACTTTTGGCTTATATTAGCATTTTCTCCTTTTATGGGTGATGCGTGCATCACTTGGCCGATTCAATAGAGATCATCTATTAGGCTGAAGATGCTTTGCTATCATTACTAGCCACAGCCAGGAAGAAATCAGCACTGTCTCAAGAGGTAAGATTTCCTGAAAAGTAGCCAATCACAGGCAGCTTACCTTCTTTGGTAGCCTCCCACCTTAAATTCCGAAAAGGTGACACAAGCCCAAAGAAATGGGTTCACAGGCAAGTAGGAGAGAATCTACTGCACATAAAAAGCAAGTCATAAGCACAGAGATGGAGCATGATTTCACACGAATGACACATTAGGGTCACCTTGTTACTAAATCTGCACATATAGAATGTTCAAAAAGTTCTCTGCAAGTAGTTTAAGTGTGTTTTAAATAGAATGGGTTGAATGACGAGTCATTATCTGTGTACCTGTTTGGCAAAATTAATTGTTACTGACCATCTTCTCTGTTCCTGCTGAAGAAAAACATTCCCACACATTCTTCTACTGTAAATAGTGATCTCTGCAGCTCCTCCAGGGTCACCATTAGCCTCCAGGCTGTCTGATTATGCTGGCCTTCCCTAGATTCTTAGCTTAGGCAATCTTGGGAGGTTTGCAGTTTTGCTACATTATATCAGTTTTTCATGATTCATATATCATGAATTGTGATAGTGATGTACTATCACTGAAATGTGCAAGACTTGTGTTTTATAATTGAACCCTTAATTAGATTATCCACAACTTAAGCCGTGGCCTATTTGTTGCATTGCTTTGTTCAACTCAATTCAGTTTATTTATACAGCACCAATTTGCAAAACATTCCCCTCCAGGCACCCTACACAGACAATTAAATCATATCATCAAGACAGTTTGTTTAAAAATTTTCTATCTAAGAAAAAAACAGCATATTGTATCCAGCCGTTGATTTTGCAGGATTCTCTTGGATACGCATGTAGAGACAGTAGATTTTCGCTTGCATTGTCTCGTTGACTCTACAGCAATTCCTCTCTCTGAGAATGCATGCTGCGACAGTGGAGAGGAAAACAACTCCCTTTTAAAGAGACAGAAACCTCCAGAAGAACTAGGCTCAGTGTGAGCTGCCTGCTGAGGTCGACTGGGGCTTAATGAGACAGAAGCAGACACAAAAAGGAACATAGAAGCACTGATCTATAAATGTTTTCTATGTTGGAAAAGGTTACGTAAACTAGCTCCATAGCTTGCTCTGTTTAGGAAGGGAAGTCTTAGCCTTTACAATGCTGTCGTCGACTGTTTGTTGACGAAATATATATTTTTTAAAAACAGTTTGTTTGAAATATTTACAGAATTAACTAGTAGATTAACTGTATAAAATAAGATTCAAAGGAAAACTTTCTTTCATCAATCTTCTGAGCACGACACCCCTTGCATGTTCTTTCCAAGAGTCTGGTCCATATAACCTGCACACCCAGGTATAGGTTTTTTCTACACATTATTGATCTGGGCCAGCTCCGATCCAATGTATGAGGGGAAACAAAAGCTTTTTTGGTATGAGTTTGTGTGTTACAGTGTATGTGCTCCAAGTTTTCAGCTTACTATAAATTACCAAACTATGTCTAATATATTCCCTCTCCTGGCAACCAGGGACATGTGTAAAAAGCTTGTTACCCACCAGAGAAGACCAATAAAGCCACAGTGTAGTGACTTTTCTAGCATGTTGCACTATAGTGTCACAGACCGACTTATTGTCCTGGATATATATGGGGAGCATGAGGGGAGCCGCTACTGCCTGACTTTGTACAGTTGGAGATGGTTGTCTGGACAACAAGAATGCCTGTTTGCTCTGCAGACGACAGGGCTAACAAAAGTGCCCAGAAAGGACTGGTTTCAGGTCTGCAGTCGGTCATCCTGTAGTCAAATTCATTGTTGATGATGATGTTAAAATGGGGTTCGAAGGTATAAGAGTAGAGATATAAATGAGTGATGACATCATCAGCAGGATCACAAAGAGACACTGAAGTTGAATTATTCTCTTTGTAAACGGTGCAGCATAGAAACGTGCTCTGACAAAAGAAGGAAGTCCTTCATGTTTAATTGCAATGGAACAGAGTCGTGTCTCAGACCGAGCTTTGTCAGTATGCCAGTATTAAGAGAGCTGTTTATTTATCGTTATCGTTTGTTTAAGATTTATAATGTCAATAAAGATATTTCAACCAGCAAATACATATTTTATTTCACCAATTGAAACTGATTATACAGTGTGATTAAAGTATACAGGCTATATTGTTTGATTATAGGAATAAATACTACATAAGTTTAGATCAGATCAAATAAAAACACTTTCGACACAAAATTAATTCATGAAAACTCTTTCGTTTTTTTAATGAACTTTTAAACTGACATACGAGCCTCATTTGAACACACGTATAACAGTTTACTGATATGTGCCTGATATGCTATCTCTTCATGGGGTGGTTCACAGCTTTAGGACGAAAACGATCTTAGGCTGCAGTCACCGTTGGGTTACTGTATATTCTAGTTTTTGTTTTGTTTTTCTATTGGAAGGGATAACAAAAGAACAAGTTGAACAAGAACTAGTTGGATGACTGAGAATCTTCAGCAAAAAGAACAAGTATTATTGAATTTACATGCTTAGAAAGGTCTGAATGTGCCTGGAGAGTAGTCTATATGTATATGTTTTACATAAAACTGCTGATATCAGTATTTATTATATGTGTTCACTTTTGGCAAAGTTTTGACAATAATCCAAAAGTAGTGAAAATGTAAAAGAAGTATAAATTCAGAAGGAAGAAGACTGTGTTGTTTCTAATCTTGTGTCATGATCTTGGCATTGATGACTATCATTTGTTCATTTCGTTCACCTGTCTTACTCTGCCCGGTTTATAATCACTGCTCATCTGATCCACCTGCTGCTACCTCTATTTAAGGTGCTTGCATCCAGTCATGGCCAGATTATCTCGTTCTCTTTAACCAGTGGTTAACAGGGTTTTTTAGCGTACCATAGTGTTTCTAATTACCTGATCCTGACCTGTTCTGCCTCTCAACCACTGAGCCTGCCTGCTCCCGCCTGAACGTTCTCAGGACATAGGCTTAACTGTTAAATCAGAATTTCCTGTGATAGACGCCCTAGCTGCTGCTACTCCGGTGAGCCATGTTTTTAAATAAACACTTTTGAATTAGCCCAGTGTCTGTCTTGCCTCGAACACTGGGTCCTCTTTTCTGAGTCATGACATCTTATCCTAAAATCTGTAAAATCATTCTCATTTATGAGTGGAACAAAACTTTGTGTTGATATCACACAGCCATTTTGCATGATTCCTCATGCAGATAAAGGATAATCTGGGGTGTTCACCTTAAAGTCTTTAACTTTGAAAGGCATTCTGACTAAACTCAATCTTTTGCTCCCACTAGCAGATATTCATCAGGACTTCAGTCAGGAGAAACATGTTGGTAAAAGTTGTAATATGAAATTGTTTGTATTGAATTAATGTCAAAAACTCTTTGGGAATGTAAAAGCGATCAACAGACATTGAGAGTTTGTTGAATTATTTAACCAATTAAATTCATTCTTCAATATATAAAAGCGCTGGCGACCTGTCCAGGGTGTACCTGCCTCTCGCCCATAGACTGCCATAGATAGGCACCGTCCCCACTGGGATCCTGACAGGACTAAGTGGGAGAAAATGGATCCATAGATGGATAAATAAAATCTCATATAAAGTCACCAATCCACACTCAATGATCAAATCTGGGCCCTTTATCTCACTCTTCCTAAACCCGACTGGAAAACCTGTGAAACTTCTTGCCTGGAGAGTTTGAGGTAAAATTATTTACAGTGGTTGTTTTGTCATCTTCCCTTTGTAGGAGGCGTCAAAGACTGTGCAGCCTCAGCTTTCAGGTCGCATCATTGCTTCCTTTGATCCCTTCCACGCACCAGAACGAAGTCAGGGATACTATTTGGCCCTGGGTCTTGGCCTCCTCTTCACCGCTCGCTTCATCCTGTTGCAGCCCGCCATCTATGGCCTTCATCACCTCGGCATGCAGATTCGCATCGCCCTTTTCAGCCTTATATACAAAAAGGTATAAGGAGAGGGGGTTCCACTGTACCAGCCCGCGTGGCATTACCCACTTTGCTTTTACCAAAACCACTTACATTCCTTTTATTACAGCTAACTGCCAACATTTGAACTTTTCAGACTCTGAAGCTGTCTAGTAAAGTCTTGGATAAGATCAGCACAGGGCAGCTCGTCAGCCTGATGTCAGCCAACCTCAACAAGCTGGATGAGGTAAGAGAAAAGAATATACCTGGAGGAATGCTGTAAAATTATGTCAAATTTAAACTTTTACAAAAAGCCAGCCAGTTTTCTTAGGATCCGATTGATCCTAGAGACTTCTGCAGGTCCTTTCGTGATGTCACTCAGCACAGTGTTGGTATGAGAACGAGAGGACAGAACACACCGTGAATCAAGTGTTGCTCCATAAACGGTGTGTTATGTCATCATCTTAAGATGTTGGCAAATAAATGGGAGGCGATGCATAACAACCTAGCTGGAGGGAATGCAAACAAGTGTGAGGGCTATCAACTGTGTTGGTGGGATGTCACTCAGGCGTTGAATGTAGAAACACTCTGCAATCTGCCTTAGGGCAATTATCACTTAACTAACATGAGGCCAACCTGATACAAAGGCTCTGGGGTACTTGGTGTCTGTATGAAGGGTTGTCTGATTAATCAAAGGATGAACCCCACTAGGGTCCAGGTGTTACACCCTTTGTACAGCTGAGCTTCAACAGCAAGAAATGATAAAAGTGGATTCTTAGATCTTTTCACCATAGCTTTCTCTTTATTTTGTCCTTACACTGCTTGTTACATAGTCATTGTAGTCATATTACATACAGTCCTGTAGCTATTGTTAGAATGAGAACATGATAAACACATTTCTTAAAATGTCTTTATATTCACTAACAAAAAAACACTCTCTAAGCCTTGTTTTATCCAACAAAATGATCTTAAAGTCAATTTAAATAGATATACGGTACCTGCTGAGCTTCAAGTTCTAGTATTCTCTCAGGTACTGAGGCAAATGCATCATATGCAATAATGTTGGTGAGAAAACGATAGGAGTAGAGTTTGATTAATGAGTCATGTGACCAAGAGCACCACTTTACTGCAGCCTGAGCTCATCTTAAACACAAGAGCTAACCCTAAAAAGTTGTTTTTAGGCAGTAAAACAGATCTAACACTTGGCTTATCAGACATATTTTTGGCTCTATGATGTTGGATTTAATCTAGAAGGATAAATGTAGACTTGAATTTTCAAGGAACTCCATGACTTCTCAATCTGGTACTAAAAAGTGATCTGCAGTTAGAATCCAAAACACAGAGAGTCAGGTTCATTTAGCTTCGCTGTATTTCTACCTCTAGGTTACAGGTCTAGCACCCCTAGTGGCTTAAATATGACTTAGACTTAGACTTCTTTATTTGTCATTTTGTATGCACAGGGTGCATACAGAACGAAATTGCGTTACATACAGCTTATGAACGTTGCATGCAAATATTCACTTGTTCCTACATACATTTTGACCGACATTTGGAGTTTTGATGTTGAAACAACCCTTTTGAGACTTCAAGTTGACAAGACATCCTAGGTGGCATTAAACAATAAGTGTCACCTTACCAAATTCCTGGGCACCAAATTACTTATGAATAGAATAGAATAGAAAATCCCTTTATCGTCCCATGATGGGGAATTTTTGGTGTTTACAGCAGCAGAAACATTATAGAAAAAATGGTTACACAAATAGGGACCTTAGAAATGTGTATGAGAATAACATAATAGTGAAGAGTTAAAAAATAAACAAATGAAATGCTATACTGTAAAGTGTTTTAACAATATAAATACTGTGCACCTGGAGAATAAATAACCAATATACAGCTATGGACTTTTTTACAGTAATGGATATTTGAAAATAGCAGCAATATCAGAGATGTGCAAAATGACAGCAGCATGTTATTTAACTGACTAAGGTAGAAACTGCAAAATCAGCATGAATGTTTAAACAACTTATTGTAATTTAATAAAGTAGCAACGTATTGAGCTTGTGGGGAACAGTGGTGGTTATAGTCTTACAGCTGCTGGGAGGAAGGATCTGTGATAACGCTCCCTGGTGCATTTAGGGTGCTGAAGTCTGTTACTGAAGGAGCTCTCCATTTATGTATAATATGCAATCTTCTTCCAAAATATAGCTGTGCTCGTTTCCTTTGTTCGGAACTGTTGATTCTGTTGGTTGTCCCACAAACCAGATTAAAAACAAAGAATCCATGGCACTAAGACTGTGAAATAGTTGCTTGGTTGACTTGATGGACCCTCTTTGAGGTACTCTTGGCAGTTTTGGCTCCCACTTCAGATTTTATTTCTTGGATTTCAGTATTTTTTATGTGTGTGTTTTTTCAAACTGGTCTTAGACTTTTTCCTCTTTCTCTTCTACCCTCTACTTGGGAAATGCTGACTTACAAAGCTTCATAACTTCCTTGTTTACTCATTTCTGACATCTAACCTCTTGGCAAATTAGGTACTTTTAGCAAATATAGTAAACGCTGAAGTTTACCAACAAGTGGAACAAAACAGTATTTAAGAAACCATCGTTTATTTAGAAAGTTTGTTTGCAACCAGATGGAGCTGCTGGGGTAAAGAGTTGTCAAGTTAATTTACATCACATTAGAAAGATGAAGCTGCACCTAAGTATATGCAGTACATTTGCTATTAAGAGGTAGATAATCCCGGTTCATAAATTAAATGTGTCTACACTAGAACATATAATTATGAACTTTGTTGATCTCCCATTGGAGAAATTTCCTTCTGCATTTAAGTGGGCTGCCATCGTGGGGCGCCTGCAGAGCAGTGTGGGGTTAAGGGTCTTTTCTAAAGTGACCCAGAGTGGCAGTCTGTGGGAGTGGGGCTCAAATTCAGAACCTCAGGACTCCAAGCTCTATGCCATACCTGTAGGCCGCCACTTCCTACAAAATAGCAACAATCTAAACCATTTCATGTGTTTAAGAACTATAGATTGCATTGTGTAAATATCATGCAAAGAGCCAGTAGATACTGTTACTGCTGAACTTCCTGGATTTTCTCAGATATGCTAGAAATCTTCTTCTAAGCGTAACCATGGCTGGTGCTGAAGTCTTCCTTATCTTATCAGTGCCTGTAGTTGATCAGACTTTCTTAGCTTCTGTTTCTCTGTATTTTTTATTTTTTATTTTTTTTTCGTACTGAATGTTTGAGCTCATTCCAATGTCTCTAAGACCGCACTTGTTCGAGCCACTGGAAAGTTTACTGACAGCACACCTAAAGAGTTCGGAAAATAAGGACCACATTGTGATGGGATTATAAGAAAACATGGGGACATTTTAATCCTTTTGTTTATTTATCATGGTGTTGCTCATCAGAGCTTGGATTCATTTCCTTTGGTAGTGAACAAACCAGCACATGTGTTATTTCAGGAAAAACTCATTGTGGAGCTAACCTTTTCTTCTCTGGTCAAATACTTCTAAATGTCCCATACAATCCAAAGGAGGAAACATTCTCTTTGCAACAATTTTTTTTTTTTAAATCTAATTATTGCTGCAGACTCTCTTTTGCCAGAATTGAGCAACCTTTGCAGCAGCAGAGGCCCATTCTGTATCTCACTTCACAGTACCAAGGTTCCCTTCACTGCTTAAATAATTTTTGGTGCACTGCAGGATTCTCTTGAAGGAAGTTTAAATAATTACACTGAAAAGAAAAATGTTAGCATCGAATTTCTAACATATGAGGTCATTTTAATGAAAATGGGTGATCACAAGTGAAATTTGTTTAATCATTTGTGCACAAAAAACCAACCTATTTTGTATCCAGAATTTAACTAAAGCTACATATTGAGAGTAAATTTGCTGGTTTTTGATACATTTTTTAAATGTACTATTCTTTTTTTTTTTACCATAATTGTTCAAAAGTAACTTTTTTTAATGTACAGATTTTATGTTTTTACACTTTTATTTTTTAATTTTTTAAAATGTCCTTTTTAAAAATTTTATTCTTTAAATTCTTTTTACTTTTTTTTTTCTTTTATATAAATGTTATTCTTTTCAGATTGTGTTTTACAGATCACATTTTGCACTTCAAGCCAAATAAAATTGCTCTTCATTTTGAGGCAATCATGGATAGATTTTCCATTTAGTCAACAGCTCATTCTTTCCTATAAATTTACTTCAGACATTTTTCCACAGCACTACTACAGGTTTTTTTTTCTAGCAAATTGCTCTTGCAGCTGGAACCAAAAAGTTTAAAAAAAACTTTAAATAATAATAATGGAACTTTATTGATCTCACAGTGGAGAAATTTACCTCTGAATTTAACCCATCCTCTTGGGGAACAGTGGGCTGCCATTGTGTGGCGCCCAGGGAGCAGTGTGGGGTTAAGGGTCTTGCTTAGTGGGAGGCTGTGGGGATCGAACCAGGCACAAGTGTACTGCTCTAAGCAGTAGGCCAACACTCCCATATGAAAATAATAAACTCTACACTAGTCTATATTATTATTTTTAGAAACACTGCATGATGCATAAAGATAAAGGGCTGTAAATAGCATTCCCATGAGCTGCAATGAGTTTAAAGATGCAGGTGATTTGATCATCCGACTGATGATTGCAGCAATAGAAATCATTTGCCCCTAAATCAAATTTAGCCCTGGGAACCCATGAGGTTTTGCCCTGGTCCTGCTTCACATGTTACCACAGTTACTTAATTTTAGGTTACACTTTCCAGCTGCACTGGTGAACATTTACCCACATCTTAAAGCCAAACTGAAGTAAAGTTGCCAACCCAACTTTCAGGAAAAGCTTCCTCTATTCCTTATCACTTAGGAACCCCCAAAGAAGTCCTAAAGCTCAGGTACATTAAAGAAGTGCAATGTACAATAATCCTTCTTAGATGCTAAATACTACACCTCTGATTCCAGTGAACTAATCACAATAGAAGTGATAAAAAAAAGCGATGCAGCTCCTTTGTGTCCCTTCAGTTTAGACCACTGCTGTAATGCATTTATTCAGTTCAGTCTCAGGTTACGATACAAAATAGTGCTGCAGCTGCTCAATAGTTTCGCATGTCGACCAACAGAAATCAGTCAGGGTGTGCATTAATTAAGCTAGCAGTAAAAAAGGTTAATTTATTCATGTTGATGAAAAAAAAAAAAGATTTTAACCAGCCTGGATGATATGACTAGAACATTTGGTCAATATGATATAATTTGATATTAATATCAACCAACAGATGCCTTTACAAATTTAAATGATTTAGCTATTTTTATAAAAGTCTCCCAACATAACGTTTTATAAGTATTTGCTTTAAAAAAATGAAAACCCAATATCAAACCTGGAACCTCAGTCGGTACCAAATGCTGTATTCGTAAACTGTAATGTACTTTAAGATGTTGGAAATTTCATAGTGCTGATAATGAATCAAATTATATCGCAATATGTATTGATAACAAAATATTGTCCAGCCATACATCTAAATATTTTAGTTTATTATCTTTTTGTGCAGATAGAGGGGCTGGGGATTACTTGCAAACACATTTTTCCCATTTTTCATCCCAATTTTTCTTTCTAATAAGTTGTGCTGTTCTCAGTACAATGACAAATAGGGAAAGTTTCCACAATATCACTCATTACATGCAACTTAACAGACTCATTCCTGTACTCTTGGTCTTGTTTAACCTACTTTACGGTTGCCAAGCTGTACTCCATTCCATCATACAGTGTGAGTCTCCCTCATGACAAATGTTCTGCATTTGCAATATATTTGTATGCCTGCGTATGTGTATTTAACTTACTATGGTGGCAAAATGCAGGTGGTGATGGCGCCTCGATAGTAACATGGACAATAATACAGACACTTCGTGTTAAGGACTGGGATTCCTCATATGTTAATGGTACGGGTGTCTCTAGTCAAATTTCAATGCTGAAGTTTTACCCTTGATACGCCAATGCTGTTGTTTGAATTAGTTTGTATTCTAAAACAAGAAAAGTGTAATTCAATAAAAAAAATTGTGCTGCTTCTCGCTGATATTAATATTAGTGCAAAGCATTTCAATGTTCTTTAAAATTATATATAAAAAAACATTTTTAAGTTGTTTAATTTGATGTTGGATTAGACTCTTAGATTCTTAGTTTCTTGTTTCTTGGTTCTAAATTTTGTTATAAAAGTTTTTCCCCTCAAGGTATAAAAGTAGCAGCAATGTGTTTCATGAGTGCCGATGAGCTGTGTGTGTTTTCGCATACAGAGCCTGGGACTGGCACACTTTGTGTGGATCACACCTCTGCAGTGTATTCTGTGTACTGGTCTGATCTGGGAGCTGATTGAGGTGAACGGATTCTGTGCCCTGGCATCTCTGACTCTTCTTGGCATTCTCCAAGCCTGGCTCTCCCTCAAGATGGGGCCTCCCCGGTGAGCACATATTAACCAGCATTTATTATTGTATTATGCGAACTTAGAAAAACGTTTCCTCTGTATTATGAACACAAATCTGTGTCTGTGCTGATGTAACTGCGTGGTGTGTACAGGGCGGCGCGTGCTGGCCTGATTAACCGACGTCTGGCTCTTACATCCGAGATCGTGGAGAACATTCACTCTGTGAAGGCGTATGGCTGGGAGGAAGTGATGGAAACAATCATCAAGAACATTAGACAGTAAGACAACATCCATTGTTTTACTCACACTAGCATGCTTTTTTTTTCTTATTTTCATTTTTTAAGGTGCCATTTCATTAAAGTACTCCAAATATTAATGTTAAAATAACAGCAATAAGGAAACCTTTTAAATGACCGATGACACAAATTATGTTTGAGTATAACTGTGCTGTTTCTTTTTCAAAAAACTTTTTTATTATTTAGGAGAGATGTTTAGATTCTCTGACAAAAGTTGTTTGCCAAGCTTAAAGATCTGGATTTTAAGAGTAGAAAACATTGATGTTGCTCTTTAAAGCTACATGAATTTATTGGCTAATTATGGTTTTTTTTTTTGGTTAAAAAGTTAAATGCTGAGAAAGTCTATTTATTATCCGTTAAAACATTTTAAGTTGTGGATAATATTGTAAATAAAGCACATTTAAAAATTGATTAAAAAAAAGGAAATGGAGTCAGTAAATCTAAACTAAATCTGTATTGTAATCTGGCAAAAATCTGTATTGTCTGTATAAGTCATAAAGTTGTGAATCAGAGCAAAAACAAAAACATACTTGCAATGAAAGTTGGAGACGTATCGAATTTCTTTCTCTTCCTCAGTAAAGAGGCAAATAAAGAGTTGCTGGAAGCCAGTACATATTTGAGAGGTAGATTGATTTCTTAACATTGCCTGTGGTTAATGTATTTTGACCACATCTATTTTAGATCTGACATCCAGATCCTCCATTTGTTAAGAATATTAATAATGTAAATTTAGATATGGAGTTTTCAAGAGTACAGTTGAAGTATCAAGTTATAATATATACATAATCTAAGAGAATGGTTATGAGTTTAACACATTAAATATCAAATTGCTGGAAACCGATGCAGGTTACAGGATAAAGTAAAAGGTGATAATTATGATGAATTTCCTTAAATTAACACAATAATAATAGTAAGGGCAGTGTACTACAATCTACTGTCTAACTTTCAACCGAACTATTAGCATAATTTGAGAGGTCAATATGAACCGCCTGGTGCATATTGATGCGTTATGTAGGCAGCCTTTCTGAAAAACTATTACAAAGGGTCAGATTTTTGGCTGAATGAGTCATGTGACCCAGAACTTAACCTGAAAAGTTGTTGGGCAAAAAAACAGATACTGTTCAGACCCGTTTCTGGTTCTCTGATGTAGGATTTAATTCAGAGGGATGAATGTCGCCTTGAATTTACATGGAAATCCATGACGTCTATTGAATAAAAAAAAATAAATAAAAAAACACACTAAGGGAGACTCTTTTTGCAGTTTTGGCAGATACATTCAGAGGTGCTGAACCTGGAAGTTGCAGGTCTAGCGCCCCTTGTGGCTAAAAGTTACACAGTGTTGCATTAAGATGTGTTTTTATTTTTCTCATCTTTCCTCAGGGATGAAATGACTCTAACCAGAAAGATTGGATCACTGCGGTATTTCTACAGTGCATCCTACTTTTTTTCTGCCATACTGGTCATCGTGTCGGCCATTGTGCCGCACGCGCTCAGTAACGGCATTATACTGCGGCGGATTTTTACCACGGCGTCATACTGCGTGGTGTTACGTATGACACTCACCCGGCAGCTCCCGGGATCCATCCAGATGTGGTACGACACGCTGACGTTGGTCAAGAAGATTGAGGTTGGTCATCTGTTGTTTTATTAAATTTGCCAATATGTTTTTAAAGGTTAAATTTTTCTAATGGCACCTATGGGCTTATAGAGGATAGAGTACCAGCTTTGGTACAACATAGTAATTATTTGTGTCGAAATATTAGCCGTTTTCTTCCAGCCAAAATAAAGACTCTAAAAAAGTCAACGTAACATTTGCTTGGGAAAATATTCACCCCCCCTTGAACTTTTCAACCTTTTACCACATTTAAGGCTTCAAAAATAAAAGATATAAAATTGTACTGTTTTTGAAGAATCAACAAGTGAAACACAATCATGAAGTGGAGCAAAATCCATTGGATATCTTAAATTTAACAAATAAAGAACTGAAGAGTGGAGAGTGCCAAAATGAATCGGTGTTCTGTCAAATCAGCATAACCCGTCAGACCTGCATACCCGTAGTCAATATGCATGCACAAGATGTCAGATTTGCATACCTCGGACACTAAGGAGGTAAGGAAGTCTACTAGGCTACTTTATTTATACTTGATATGCTAAACAAGTTGTAGTTCAAGGTAAACACACAAACTTACCAGAAAAGCATAGTGAAAGTCAAGTAGGCTAGTTTATTTATGCGTGATGTAATAAACAAAAAGTTATAGTCTGAGGTAATAGGAATATGACGCTAAACTGCCTGAAACACAGACAGCCTCACTTTCTTTGTTCACTACTTCACACCCTGAGATAGCAGCTAACCTGTCAGATTGGCATACAATGGTAAATTGTATGCTGATCTTGAAAAGCTGATCTGCAAATGTGACAGAAGTTGTTTAAATGTCCCTTTGTGCATGCATATTGCAAAACTTTATGTCTGGCGTAAAAGCCACACAGCCCATCACCTTGAACACGCCATTCCCACTGTCAAACATGGTGGTGGCAGCATCATGGTTTGGGTCTGCTTTTCTTCATCAGGCACTGGGAAGAGCGTTAGAATTGATTAGAAGATGGATGGAGCCAAATACAAGAGCATTCTGCAAGAGCATTCTGCAAGAAAAGTCTGCAAAAGACCTGAGCCTGGGACGGAGATTTATCTTCCAACAAGACAGTGATCAAAACATAAAGCAAAATCTACAATGAATGGTTCACAATTAAACATATGCAGGTGTTAGAATGGCTTTGTCAAAGTCCAGACGTGGATCTGATCTAGAATCTGTGGAAAGAACTGAAAGCTACTGTTCACAAACGTTCCCCATCCAACCTCTCTGAGCTCCAGCTGTTTTACAAGGAAGGATGGGGAAACATGTCAGTCTCTTGCAAAACTCCTGCACAACTGATAGAGACATATCCCAAGCTGTTATTCCAGCAACAGGTGGTACTACAAAGTATTAATTTAAATAGGCTGAATCATTTTCCACACAGAATTTTTGGTTCTTTATTTATTAAAACTGTTTATAATTTTGTTTTACTTCATGATTTTGTCCTACTTGTTGTTGAGTTTTCATTTAAATAAAAAAATACAATTTTATATATTTATCTTGAAGCCTGAAATGTGGCAAAAGGTTAAAAAGTTAAAGGGGGGTGAATACTTTCACAAGGCACTGTACGTGATGTAAACCTTTTCAAAACACAATCATAGCTAAACCCCTCTTTTGACTGTTTCAAATAGTTTATATTGGTTTTCAGATATTAGGTTAGTTACATTCACTATTCCAGACTGTTAGACATTACCTGTGGTGACCCGCAGGGTTCAGTGTCTGGCCCCATATTGTTTATTTTGTATGTAAATGACCGAAAGAAAGTATTAAACCAGGTCAAGTACATTATATTTGGAAATGATATTAATATCTTTGGAATGGGAGAAACCTTCAGCAACTTTTAGAAGTGGTCACTATAGAACTGGGAAAACTAAAACCTTAAGTATGGGGGGAAAAAAAGTGATCATTGGATTCAGATAAAAGAAAGTTTATGGCATAAGGAAAATGCAAAAAAAATTATTTTAAACAGCTATTGACACTGTTGTTTAGAAGGAGCCCAAATTAGATTTCAAGGTTTTAACATTAGATGGTATTAAATTTGAAAACCACAGATCAGTGGGATTAAATCTAGTCCAAAAACATTGCAGTTTTGATGAGAAGTACATATTTATTCACAATAAATCACTTTTTATTTTATCTTTTCCACTGTTTGATTTGGTTGAACTTGTCAACTTATAAACTAAATAAATAAAATGTAATCTACATATAAAAGCAATTTTAAGTTGAAGCTTCATTCTCTTTTCACAGTGTAATTTAATCTTAGAAAAAGTAACCAAAATATTCTTGNGATCATTTCCTTGCTGTGTGTTTTTGTGTTTGTCTCTCTGCAGGATTTCTTGCTGAAGGAAGAATACAAAATTATGGATTACAGTTTGACCACAGTTGGACTGGAGCTGGTGAATGTTTCAGCATCCTGGGATGAGGTTCGTTTGCTCTTTCAGTACAATACCTAAAGTTAGCGCTCTTTTAAGGCATTAATCAATGATACAGATTTTCACATAGATTTTTGGTTAGGCTTTGAATCTGACTGGATAATATTAATTTGTGGAAAAAGGGTCTGTCTTTTTTTATATATATTTAAAAACAAAATGTTTGAATTTAAAAAAAATATATATTTACAGATTTGTACTATACTGATAAAGAGAGACAAAATGCACAACAAAAGTGTTAAAAGTTTTAAACAGGCTGAGCACAAAAAATGATGCTTTCTTGTTATCGCTCCAAATTTGTTTTCATCAAATAAGAATAATTGATGTTTAGTATGAACTGATTTTAATCACATTTTTATCAGAGGTGTCCCTCATGCTAAGGAGGTATTAAAATTTAGTAATGATCCAGATCACGTGTTAGTTTTAACTATAGGTGTTAGTCACAATTTGTGGCAAACTGTGCTGCTTTGCAGAGGTCTGCGCTCCATGAGTGCTTTTCTAGTTTGGTTATAGTAAGGCTGCAGATGTGTAGATCATCTAGTAAAGTTGGTAACCGAGGGCTTGTTAGATTTAAGCTCATTTTACTCCTTATTTTTAGTGTTACGCTGAATTAAAAAAAGAAAATTTGAAGGAAGTATATATAGAGTGAATTTTGCTCTAATAAAATTTGAAAAAAAACCACATTTTGTAAATTGTAACTTGAAAAAAAAAAACACTTTAATCCATAAATAAATTTTTTTTAAAGTTTTAATCAAAAAATTGTTTTGAGAGAAACTTTTTATTGTGCATTTCTATTTTGTTTCCAAAAATTTTTTTACAGCATTTTTGTATTTTATAATTCTTGTTTAGGTTTTTAATAATAAATATTCTATTTATCAAATTTTTGCAAAAGTTCTATAGTAACTCCTAGACGTCTTCTTCTCGACCTGCTAAAGACGAGAGGGAAAGAAAACAGAACAAAACAGAAAAGAAGAAACTAAATACAACTGCTTCAAAAGCAGCGAGTATCCCTTAGATCAGTGGCCCCCAACCTTTCTGGAGCTACAGACCGGCTTATTGTCAGGACTTTTTTTTCACAGACCCGTCTGTAGCTGTAGTGCTCTCTGGTCACCATGGCAACCTTAAACATGCCTTTAAAATAAGACTCCACAAAAAGAAAAATGCATGAAAGCAGCCTATTAACTACTCACAACAGTAGTGAATCTTTGGGAAACCTGTGCTTGTTTTGCTGCAGCGAGACAGTGGGAGTTTAAAGCAGGACGGATCACATGACTTACTATGTGGAGGCTGACATGCGTCTGTATATATACAGATTTAGCTTTTTACACACATGTACAGAGTGGTGTATATATATATATATATATATATATATATATATATATATATATATTCCATATAGTTTATGGACTTCCTGATAGTAGAGAATTTCAATAGTCAAGCCCTGAAATAAATGCATGGACTAGTTACTCAGCATCCCTCCTGGAGAGGATCATTATATTTTTTTGTAATATTCTTTTTGTAATTTTCCTTCTTTTTGTAAAAAGAAGGAAAATTTTTTTGATATGGGATTTAAATGTCAGGTCTTGATCAAAAATAACACCAATATTTTTTACTTTATTATCTGACAAACATTTAATTCCATACAAATGCAGTGCCTGACTTGTCAGCTTCTTTACATACACTATCCTTCCAGGTCTGGGGGGAACAGACCTACAAACCCAGGAGGAGACCCTGGCTCCCCAGTGTGGGAAGGGGAAGGCTCTAAAACAAATTTGAAAAAAGGTTTTCAAATTAACATCTTTAGATTGCAGATTTACAACATGTTCATGTTCTTTGCAACAATAATGGAACAAAATTGACTCCATAAATATATTTGAATGTCGAGTGTTGATGTCTTTCTGCTGTTCAGACATTCATATTTGTGTGTTTGATAAGACAACGGCTGCTTCTGATAGTAATACCTGAATATAATCAACTGGACACCTGAGAATCTAAAGCAGTCCTGTTTAATAAGGCCTGCATTCCTCATCCTATTAACAAGCCAAACCTTTATAGCAGTGAAATTCATCCTCTTTTTCTAAAATTAAGCTCTTTATGATCCTCAATGAGCCATGGTGAGGAGCCTCTTTTGCACAACACCTTCTAGTTAGCTGCAAAGATTTGTTAATCATGTGCTTATCAAAGAAATATTTTACAAGTTAAACATAAAGTATTTATGCTAAAAATCTATTTTTCTAAGAAGTGACACTTGTGATCCCTGAGGTTAAAATCTAAGACTTGAATGTTATTAAAAATACATTGAAAATTAATATAATTAGTTTATATGTATAAACAATATAAAATAGACATTGCATTGCTGTTTTGGGGGTAATATTTGGGAACCCCTGTTTTAGATGATCAGAATTTTAACGCTTAGGGAATATGAGATAAACGTGCAGATAGGGTAAAAACTATCTCAGCATGAGTTCCAGCAATGGTTTCTCAGTTGGCGGGATGTTTACGGCTCCGCTTTCTGCATCATTTTGCCATGATGAGGTAACGCAGTGCTGAAGAAAGTCAACTCCTTAATCCACAATGAGTTACGACTGTAAAAGTAAATTCCTTACTGTCACCAAGAAAGAATTGTAATTTCTAATCTATAGGCAAAGGCTGTAAACCTAGTCTAACAGGTGTGATTCACTGTCTACCCAATACCGTGAGAAAACAGACGCCCGGTAATCCCTCCTCTTGCATTGTTAATTAAGCAGGTGGTGTCACCCCTTTTTGTCTTTGCTGGGAACACTCTGGTTCTCCTTTTGAGTCCTAGAGTCCATTACCCAATTCCCAAATTCTCCTTTAGCCTCCTCTTCCAGGAATGAGTGGATTCACAGAAAAATGCCAGGCGGATCATCACTTTTCTTTATAGCACACAGCACCAACGTCAGCTCATTAGAATGAGAACTTTGTGAACAAACTGCAGCCTATCTTGGCTTTACAGGAGCTCAGGCTCATAAAACATCACAGAGGTCAATGAATAACCCAGTCTGTCACGCAGGGTTCCCCTTTTCTAACATAGCTCTGCGTCATCCATTAATCTGATCAGAGGCAGTGACAGATAGGTTGAAAAACCCTTTTGTGAGTCGACTCATGTCCTTGGACTTTTATTTCCTTACAAAAGTTTACCCCCAGTTTTGTTATCTGAAAAATACAACACATTACAAGTATTCACACCTCCTGATTTCTCACATTTTAGCGTATTTTTTTGTGTGTTTTTCCCGTGGACCATGATAATAGCACTAGGTTTTTTTTCTTTTTTATATGCAGTTAAATGTTTCAAGTGAATTTTTATGTCGTAAATCATTAAGGAGTGAATTTTGTTCTGTTATAAACAAGTTTTGTAATTGGAAATTTTGGGGGGGAAAAAAATAAAAAAAAATCCAGAAATGAAACTTTAAAAAATGTTAATAAAAAAAAAAAAGGTTTTGAGAATAACTGTTAGATTTTTTTTCATGCTTTGTTAAATGCTGTTGTTCATATTTAGTTTTAAAAATTGCATTTTTTTTTAATAGTTTTTGGCAGATCCCCTTCTCTTGAGTGCAGTAATAACACTCGCTTTTGACCAATAAAAATGTTGCTAATCTCCAGCAGACCGATAGAGATGCGTCTTCATTCCTCACTCCACAGGAAAGCCTGCCACCCCTAGAAGTGAAGAGAATGTGATCTGTGAAATGCAATTTTAAAAGAACGACATCCGTAAAACTCAAAGACAAACATTTTAATGTTTTTTTTAATAAACAATGTTATAAAAAAAAAATGTATCTGAGAAAAGAGCAAATTTATTAAAGCTTAATTTGTGGGTTTACCCCCTGCCAAATTTTAGTTTACAAAACAATCCTTGCAACAATTATCTACTCCAATCCAATTGTATTTGTTAAGCACTTAAAAACAACCACAGCTGACCAAAGTGCTGTACAAAAAAAAGATAGATAAATAAGAGTACAGATAGAAAAACAAAAAAAGTTAGAACATGGGTAAAAAAATAACATTTCACCAACAAAATTGGGTAAAAGATAAAAGAAATAAAAAAAGATAAAATAAAGCCCACTATGTCAAGTGTGGGTGGAGGTTTGACAGGACCCAAATGCAGACACAAAAAGCTGAAGTGATTTCATGAATATTTGATTAACTAAAAAGTTCAACAGAAGCAAAACCTAAGAACCAGGAATACTTACAAAAGGGGGCAAAGGAGCAAAGAGTGACTGAACAGGAGGAGGATATATGGGAGAGAGAAATAAAGACCAGGCTAATTAGTAGATTGGGAGCAGGTGTGAACACAGGAGGCAAGAAGGGAGCTAGGGAAAAGGAGACGCAAACAAGAAATATCTAAGAATTCAAATACAATTAAAAATAACTACAACACAAAAATGGAAATAAGACCAATGAAAATTCAGAGATAAAACTGGAATGGAACCAAAACCATGACACACAATAATGGAACAAAATTATCTTCATAAATCATCCCCGAGCTCTATGCTCTATGCTGTAAATGATTGCATTTTCAGCTTTAATTACCATAGATAGCACTTCTGCATCTTTAACATGTTTATCATGTAGCTAACAGTTAAATAGACTTGTACAGCATTTTGTAAAAATGTCACTCTTCCATAAAGTCTGTATTTATGGATACAACCTGGTTGCCTGTACAGTTAATGCTCAATTTGTCTGGCCTGTAAGCTCATGTGGAAATGAGTCTTTCAGGAATATTGAGGCTTTTTTAAAACATAGACCAGATTGTGATCCAGAAGGCTTCTATCGATTGGAAATAAAATGTCAACATGACAACATCTTTGAGACCTTTCTGCAGTTCACACGCATCGTAGAAATCACAGCCTAAGACCTTTTTTTAAGCAAAAAAAGGAGAAGAAATAGATAAGAAAGTAAACTTAAAACAGAGGGACTATATTAGCATGGCCATTGGGAATTCTTAGATGACCTAACCCTTGCTTGAGTCATTTTCATACTTTCTCCTTTTAACATAAGTAAAAATATGTTGAAAAAAAATCATATTTTTGGCCACTCTACCCACCTCTGTTTATGCATCTAGTTCAAAAGAAAAAAAAGCAACAAAAAATGAGTGTCTGTGTCCAAAACTAAAAAGCTGCCAGAACTTTCAGGAACAGATGTTTAGAAAAGGGTAAAACACAATAAAGGGAAAAGAGAGTACAAAAGCCGCGTACAGTAATCCTCCCACTATTGAATTTTTTTAGTTATTTGCAGTGAATAGAATTAATCCCTAACCCATGCTGTTAGAGTTTATAATTGTAAAATATTGTTTCCATTATATGCCTATGCAAAAAACAAAAATCTAGTTAAGATAAAATAAGGCTCTATACTCCCAGCGTCCGTACTGCTAGTGTTCTGATCGTCCTTTTACAGCCTAAATAGAGCATCAGCAGTGGGTGCAATGAGCTGACATAATCAGACGTGGTGCCATCTACTGATAGGATCGCTGAATTACCACACAGCCAATGATGCTGCTGTGGAAAACCTACAGCTCCCTGAGCTTTAGAGAACTCCAACATTCAGACTGTTTTCCCAGCGCAGCAGTTTATCCCTGTTGGAGTAATACAGATTCTTGCTCCTTTTTACGTAGATCTTGAACATTTCTCTTTTGTCGTAACTACGCTGGGAGTTCCAAACTTGCTCGTCTTCATTACTTCATCTCGTCGTTTAATTGTAAGCATGATGTTCCGAGATCCTTTAAACTTTCATTATGATTTTCTACCTTTTTCTGACCACTTTATTTTTTTGCCACTTTCCTGTTTTCTTTTCTTTCTCTCTTTTTGTCTCACTAGGCCTCATAGCAGAGGTCATGAACTTTATTCAGGTTTACCAGAATAATTAAAAAATGTCTCCTTCAGCTTCCAATATATTATGGACAACATTGTGTTGGACTGTCACATAAAGTTAGAAAACAATACATTACAGTTTGTAGCTGGAATATGATACAAAATAAGGGCAGGGTCATCTTCTTTGCACTAGAATAGTAAACCAAGTCTGCCACCTTTAAAAATAGAGAAAGCTGTTAATGCTCAACTGATCCCACATGTTCACTCAAACTCCTAATTTATCTGGCAGGGGATTGTTGAGCTTTTTGAAAAGATCAAGCGGGAGAACAAAGCAAACGGACATCTGACCGGTGATGACGGGCTCTTCTTCACTAATCTGTACGTCACTCCCGTCCTGAAAAATATCAGCCTACACTTAGAGGAAGGGATGATGCTCGCAGTGGCCGGATCTACTGGATCAGGAAAGGTAGCTGGGAAATACAGCAGTTAAAGCACTGTCTATGCTCATCATGTTAAAACTGTTTGAGTCCTGAAGGTCAAATGTCTGCAAAAGTCTCTTGAGTTCAGCTTAATGTTTTAGAAATAACTCTTCCTGTTTTCTTCAGAGTTCCCTGCTTATGATGATCCTAGGAGAGCTGATACCATCCGAGGGTAAAATCAGACACAGCGGTCGGATTTCATATTCGCCACAAACGTCTTGGATAATGCCAGGAACCATTCGTGACAACATCCTTTTTGGCCTGACTTATGACGAGTTTCGCTACACTTCTATCATCAGGGCCTGCCAGCTGGAAGAGGTACATCCCCGTCTGTAGAACTCGCTCTGTGCCTTCTTTCTGTTCTGTTTCTGTTTCTGCCTTCTTTTTATTTTTTTTTGCACCACTTTAATGTTCTCATAACTTACTCTCATTTTGCATCAACTTAGCGGGACAACCAGGAGAGTCACTGAACATGAGATTCAATTGTTTTACATTTTAAAATCTAAATCATAAACTAGGAAATTCCAGTTTTAAAAGAGTTAAGTAATTGCACATTTGAAATCAAATTATTACATAATAATTGTAAATTGTCTTTAATAATCCATTATTAAATAGTATTTTCAAACACTAATTTAAAAAAATAAATAATTTAAAAATACCTTACCTTATTGAACATTTGAAAATGTAATTCCTTTTACCACTTCCATTTTCGTTTTCACCTTAGATTTTCAAATCCTTTTTGCTATAGCATTTTGTTTTTAATTTGTTGTCTCCAGTTTCTCCGCTGCACCCTAAATGCACGAGGGAGCGTTATCACAGATCCTTCCTGCCAGCAGCTGTAAGACTTTATAACCACCACTGTTCCAAACAACCTCAATAAGTGGCTACATTATTACATTACAATATTTTTTTTTAAACATTAATGATGATTTTTGCAAAGTTTAAGTTAGTCAGTTAAATAACATGCTGCTGTAATTTGGCACATCTCTGATGTTGCCTCTATTTTCAAATATCCATTATTGTAAAAATGTCCTTAGCTATTTATTGGTTATTTATGCTCCAGGATTCACAGTGTTTATATTTTTTAATTTAATTTTTAATAATGAAGAATATAATAATTATACTGGTTAATTATAAAGACAATTAATAATTCCTCTCTAATAATTACATTTAAAATGTGGAATTGCAAAACACCTTTCCAAGTGGAAATCTTGTTGCATGATTAAAATGTTGAATTGTATTTCTTTTTCAGTGACTCCTCTGGTCCTCCATAGTTGTAACTAAACAAAAGATACCAAAATATGTTTTCTATGCTCTTGTAATTTTCAGGTGTTATTTGCATTTGGATCAAACAGCTTATGATATGTCCAACCTCTGTGGAGCTCCTACTGTTGGAGCAGCTGACACCTCAGTTACAATTTATTGCATTTTTTATTTTTACTTTTTTGCTAAATTGACTCAAACTTTTCATTTGCTTCACTTCTGCAGGGCGAAAACTGTTTCAGGTTTCCTTTGTCTACAATAGTTATGTAACCCTCTAAAACACACACATCCTCGTCTTGCTATTTGTAGTGAGGACCATGTGTTAATCTCCATTTATTTCCAGTTCCTTGCTGTCTCCTAATGCTGAAAATAACCTCAACCCCAACCATTACCAGAGCTTACTTAACCCTAAAAAAAACATTGTAGTTCTAAACCTAATCATTGGCCAAACAGGAAGTCAAGACCAGCAATTTGGCACAAAGGTCCTCAGTTTGATGGTGAAATGATGGTCCTCACAGTGATGCCAAAACAGGAGCAGACATTTGCTCATTATGTTTCTGACACTGAAGCACGGGCTCTCCTGGGCTCCAGTGTTGAGTGATGGACCCTCGGTATTTTCTGGTTATGTCGCTGCTGTGCAAACTGAGCCTTTTTCTTTCAGCCATTAGTTTTCCTACAAAAAAACTGGACACACATTTCAAACTTGTGAAAGTTTTACCGATGCATTCTGTACTATTAAATCACTTTGTCTAACTTCGTGAAATGAAAAGTTTCGTGTTTTAGTTGTTTATTTGTATTGAAAAGGATTTTTCCACAGGTTAAAGGAGTGGGTTTGGTCTTCCTATTAACTTAGTTCCATGTTTTATCCTCTGTGGAACAGACGGCATCTCTTTCATTGGAACTAAAACACCTGATATTTTCAAAGCAAACAAAGCCAGCAGCTCATCTCAGAGGCGTTTGTTTTGTTTTTAGGAAGGGAGCAATAAGAAAGTGTCAAAATCCAACGGTGTCTTGAAGTTCTTCACATTTTAGCTGCGTTTTGTGTTAACACAAAGGGCTGGACATGAAGAATTCACATGTTTAGTTCTTATTTGAAAGGTTTTAGGTTTTATTTTACCAAGCTGATGTTTTTTTAAGCATATGGTCATGACGGATTTGCATTGTTTCTTAAAATGAATTACCTACAGTATCGGTACAGATTCTCTAAAACAGCAGTAGTTTTACAGGAAACTTGTCATTGATCTCCTCCTTGCGACATGAGGTTTTTAGATCTTTAAATAATCAGTGTGATTTTTCTCTTCATGAAAAATCCAATGTATACATTCAGACACATAAGATGAAAAGAACACCTGATGGATCAATAATGCAAATTAAAACTGAAGTGTGCAAATAGTTTTTTTTTTTTGTCTTAATGTTTAAGGAAGGCTCTAGTTTCAAAATAAAAGTAGAATTTTCTGACAGTTATTAAATTTTCTTTTAGGCTTTACAGGTTTAATAACCATTTCTACATTAGAAAAATTCAGCTAACTAAGTTTAAATGAATATAGAGCCACAGTCCTACTACTTTCAATGTGTATCTGGTATCAAACCCCCCTGCCTCAGAAGGTCTAAATCTGACATGAACTGTAGGCTGTTCATCAAAATGTGGGGAGAACCCACCCAGGTGATGATCTCTTCCACCAGGATCCCATGTGTCTGGTAGTTTGACAGAGCAGGTGAGGAGACGTTGAGCAAATAACTGGGGAGTGAGATTCTCCCCGGCAGCCAGCTCGCCCAGTAACCCCAGTGGGCAACCTGTTCTCCACCACAACCCAGAGCAGGGGCCCACAGCTCCCCCCACCACTCCCTAACTGTCAAATCCCAACCCAAGCTCCATACCCCATCTGGGACAGGGAGAGCCAGACCGCTGGAAAAAGATGTCAAGAGCTAATCCCAGAACCACCCCACCAAAAAAATAACACCCAATCCCAGGCTGCCACTTCCCTCAAACTGGTTAATCCAGCTCATTTTTACTATCACGTCTCTTTGTCCAAGGTGTTAAACAACCATTTACTTTGATCCCCAATGCATTTCGACTGGGATGCCAAAGGCAGCCGTTAAACAGGTAGGAAAGTGAAATCCTGGATTTTCCTTTCTTATTGGTGCGTTGAGTTTGTTCCTTATTTACCAGTGATTATTAAATTCCCTGTGAAGCTTGTGTCCTTTTACCATCCCTTGTTTGTATTCTTTTCTCTCTTTTTTTGTCTTTAATAATGGGATGAAAAAACATATTGGAAAAATATTTACAATTCAGTTTATTTATATAAACACAGGTCAATTTTTAACACCTGTCATCTCAAAGAACTTTGCATAAATTATTCAATCGGTCAGCTTGTTGTAAAAGTTTTCTATCTAAGTAAAAGCAGTCAATTGCTTTGAGTTTTGATATGCATGTAGTAACAGTTGAGAGGAAAAGGTCTTTCCAGCAGAACCAGTCTCAATGTGAGCAGCCTTCTGCCCAGGCCGACTGGGGTTCAACCAGACAGAAGCAGACATAGAAAATGAACATAGATCTATAAATACTTTCCATGTTAGAAAAAACACAATATGAGTGGAGTCCATAGCTATGTCTAAGAGAAAAACATGACCAAACACTGCAATACTTTTTCCCTGTGTCATTTCATATTATTACGCATAACTAAATTGCTGCACTTCCATGGTTTGATTTCTTTGTATGTGTGGATTGCATGGATTGTTACCAACATCTGGTGAAAATGTCATGTCAATAGCACCTCTAGAAGAATAGAATTGAATAGAAAATCCCTTTATTGTCCCAAAATGGGGAAGTTGTGGTGTTACAGCAGCAAAAGGTTATAGCAAAAGTGGTCGCACAAATGTGGACCTTAAAAAAAGTGTATAAAAATAACAGAATAAACAGAATAAACAAATAAAATACTATACTGTGCATTTTTTTCACAATATAAATACCGTGCATCTGGAGAATAAGAACAGCTGTGGACATTTTTACATTAATGGAAATATGAAAAAAAATACACAACTTCAGAGATATGCAAAAATGACAGCAGAATGTTATATAAATGATTAAGACAGAAACGGTGCAAAATATAGAAATACATTTACTGAGAAAAATTGCGCCATGTTCAACACTTACCTTACCTGCTGTAAAACCATTTAAATAATCGGCTGTAGCTTAATTATTCTTACCAATTTTAGGCATTCAAATCAAGCCTATTGCTTTTAATGTGCATAAAATTTACGGGTGTGCAAAAAAAACTATAAATACTAAGGTTTCCACTTTGGACTTTAATGTTTATTTTAAGAAATGCAATTGATTGGATATTGCATTTTTTAGGCATTTAAATCTTTATGTTTAATCAATCAGCTAATTTATTAAATTTTTGACCTTTTTTTTTAGTATTTAATTTCACTGAGACATATTGTATTGGGTCAAGTCAATTCCTTAATTATTTCATGTACTTTTATGTTTCTATCCATACAGCACACGCTCATCTTTATCACTGTCATCTCAGTTTATTTTCTTATTTCTCCTTATGTGGGATCATCATTACCATCTTGCTGCCTTTTGGCGAACACAGCAATCAAACCCGTCTCTATGTCCCATAATCCTTCACTCTGTGAGGGCCTATCGCTCTGCAAACATGAAACCCTCTGCCACTGTCTTACTTTGTTTTTGGCAGGTCAAGAATTCGTATTGGACTTATTCCATGTTGCATCACTTATGGCTTTTTTTTCCTTTCGGAGAGATTTTGGCGTTTGTGTTTGTTGTTTATGGTGTTTTCTAAGCTGCAATTCATGAAAACAAACTAAGAAATTTGAGCCACGGTGTTTTTCTTCTGAAGGATTTTGAGTCTCTGCCTGAGAAAGACAAGACGCCCATAGCAGAAGGAGGAGTTACCCTCAGTGGCGGTCAGAGAGCCAGAATCTGCCTCGCCAGGTAGCCACACACTCCCCAGTACATCTCAGACTTACTCTGATTTATTATCAGTTAAATAAAATCCAGAGGAACAGAAATGTCCAAAGTCTTGTTTGTGAGATGCCAATTGTATTGAGCCTGGATCTGTTAATCTTTCATGGTGATATATATATGTATATAATATACTTTTCACACCAGTCGGTTTTATTATTTATTCCTGAAGCTTTATTGCTTCATTAAATCTCTGTGCAGCCTGTCAGTCAGAGTGACTCTCTCATATTCTCATACTTTATTTATCTGCTCATTGATTTGTGGCATGTGTCTGCATAATTGCTTCCCACTGAATGCCTCCAACCTTTTTGATAGATTACACCAATGACCTTTTTTCCCTTTATTTCCAATATTTGCTTTCTCTAACGTTTCACACGTTGGAGTTTCTATTTTTGTTTTATCTCTTTCTCAACATATGTGGGTTTCCTTTACTGTAGGGCCGTGTATAAAGATGCAGACCTATACCTGCTGGACGCACCTTTCACCCACCTGGACATCCCAACGGAGAAAGAGGTCTTTGACAAGTAAGGATCCCAACAGAGAGTCTTTCATGTAGCGGTGGTGGGGGATGGGAGAGTTACAGAAAGTTCAAGGTCAAGGCGCTCCGCCGCAGTCTCACATGCTTGTTGACTGTGCTGGAAGTTTTTCTGGTAACGGTTTAAAATCATCTGAGGGAGCAGAACAAATATGGAATCACATACTACACATATGGCATGGTTATAATTTATTTAATAGCTGAATGTAAAATTTTACATGCACAAGGAATGTTAAAGTTATGTTTTCATTAAAAGAGGCTAGTTATGTTCTTTTTTGAGATTTTTAAGTACCTCAGGACTTTATTTAATTTAAAAATGCATTAATTTAGCGTTGAAGATCAGTTTTCAGGCTTTATCTTTGGTGTGTTAGCTTTAATAACTTCACTTCTCTTGTTTTCTGTTTCAAGAATTCTGCTCCTGGTTATCAGTTTTGACACTTTTATATGTAGTTTGAAGTTACTTCACATTTTAGAGGCCAGAATAGCCAGCCTTTTCACCGTCTATGTTGTGGATCTACATTCTTTAGAATCAGGGAATCTCAATTTTCATCATGGACCCTTAATGGAGACTAACGAGCATCTTTAAAAGCATTTATAAAGTTGTAACAAAGTAGAAGATTAAAATAGACACACTTTTATAGCAGCTGAAAACATACAAGGCAAGGCAAGCAAGGCAAATTTATTTGTAAAGCACAATTCAGTACAAAGACAATGCACAGTGCTTTA